GCTGCACCACTTGGTAAAACACGTGTGGGTTGAGGAGGAGGTGCCTCCTGAGCTGAAGCATGCCCCTGTGCTACTACTGGACGAGGGTAAAAGAAGCAAGCAATGTTGCATGAATTATCGCAGCATCAGCTTGCTGAGTTGTGTGCGCAAGGTGATTGCCCGACTCCTGTTCAACCGCCTCGTCAGTCAGATTGTGGAACCGAACGTGGCAGAAGAGCATTATGGATTCAGTTCGGGTCGCAGCACTGTGGATATGGTGTTTGCGGCTCGTCAGCAGCAGGTGTAGTGTAGAGAACGGCACCAGCCGTTGTAATCGCTGTTTGTTGATTTTACCAAGGCATTTGATACGGTGAACCGCCAGACATTGTGGCTGGTGTTGGGTAAGTTTGGTTGTCCACGGAGGTTTATAAGTGTAATTGAATGTCTGCACAGTGATATGCGAGCCAGGGTACAGCTGAGTGAAGTGACCTCGGATGGCTTTGCAGTTGTCTCTGGCGTGAAACAAGCCTGCGTCTTAGTTCCTGCCCTGTTTAACATCTATCTTCATGCCATGATCTCTTGTGCTTTTGATGCTGCTTGTGCTTACGGTGTTCGTGTGGAGCACCGTATTGATGATGGGTTACTGAACATCCGTCGATTCGGTGCAAGAACCTTAGTATGTGAGACAACTACCTGTATGCTGCTGTTTGTTGACGACTGTGTGTTGTTTGCACATAGCGCGGATGTGTTGCAGCACATGACCAATGCTCTGGCTTCGACAGCGGCCAAATTCGGGCTCACCATCAACACAAGCAAAACTGTCTGTCTCTTTCAGCCTTCACCGGAGGTGCAATTTGCAGTGATGCCGCAGATCGGCATTGGGGCTGAAGTATTAAAAACCGCCTCCCGCTTCTACTACCTTGGGAGTGTGGTTTTTCAAATGACCAGCAGCTACGCAGTGAGCTTCGTATCCGCTTCTCGAAGGCAGCTTCGACATTCGAGAAGCTTGAGTACCGAGTGTGGAACAACCATCAGCTTACCATTGGCCCGAAGCTGATGGTGTACAAATTCATGATGCTGCCCGTTCTTCTATACGGCAGCGAAACGTGGACGATGTACCGGCGGGATGTGCGATATCTCGAGCAGTGCCATCAACAGTGTTTGCAACGGATTCTGCGCATCGGTTGGTGCGACAGAGTTGCGGACACGGAAGTGTTGCGCCGAAGTGGAACGTATGCAGTGGACTGCATACTTTTGCTGAGACACCTGAGGTGGCTCGGTCATATGAGCCGTATGCATTCGACGCGGATACCGGAACAACTATTATCTGGTCAGCTGAGTGTTGGGATGCGGCATGTGGGGAAACCGAAACTTCGTTACCAGGACATGATCAAAGTGAGCTTCTCACGTTCTGATCTTGATGGCAGGTCATGGGAATCGAAAGCGATTGATCGGCATGCATGGCGCGATCTCATCAAGAAGGCAGTTGCGGAGGTGCAGGAGAAACACCCCATGCATACAGAGAAGAAGCGGCAATTGCGAAAGCGGCAGGCGCCGTTGAGGAGTTCTCCATCAACATAGAACGCATGGTGCTGTAGCACATGCAGTTGCGAGTGCCTGAGTCTGGCAGGTTTAGTGAGCCATGAGCGAGACCACTCGGGGCCTCCGAAGCGACGACGGGTCCTGCAGATAACGTAGGCAGAACCAGCGCAGCATTTGTAGTTAAGCTACATTGGATTTACTATCCGCTAGCTTACATGCTGGGTATTTATTTCAGGTAGTGGGTTTGCTATATTGTCTCATTATTGTCTACATGAACTATCTGCTATTAACTTGCACACGTCGTTCACTTTAAGTGTAGTGTGTCGTTTGTGACATTAATAAAATATGTTTTCTGATGTCCTGAAACTATTGCGGATTTTTACCGGGCAATTTATCTCATATGCTCATTTTTTGAAGTGATATGTCGGCATAGTCATGTGCATTAATCGGTTTATTTTATTTGTTATTGTCATTTCAAGTGATTGACTGTTGCTTGATATCCCCTGTGTGCCTGCGCTCGATGTGCATGTTGACAAGGTGCTTACCTGTCTATTACCCACTACCTCGTCCATACTGGCTATATATATATACATATATATATATATATATATATATATATATATATATATATATATTCCTGATGTTGATGTAGATGTTGCATGCATCATGCTCCTTCATTGCATTTGGGCTACACTGATTTACATTTAAACTAGATCTTTCTAATTCCGAGGAAAATGTTCCCCTTTATTTTATTCGCTGGGCTCTGTTATTCTGCTCCATATTTCCTGTCTACTTTCCTTCCATTTCGACGTTCTTTGTTTGATATCGCCGGTGTAGCTGCGCTTGATATGGATGTTGCCAATCTACTTACCTGCCGAAAGTTCCTTACCTCGATGGTACTGGATCCAGTAAACACTTGGTCGTTGCTTAGTAAACCGAGATGCACCGTCCTCCTGCTAGGCTCAGAGTGGTTCGATGGATCCAGTGTGCAGCATATCACAACCCAGCCACCGACTAATGGACGTCTGGTACGCATGATTCCCAAGTTAGATCGACAAGAATGCCGCTGTTGTGCATGTTGGAGGTGTAGGCGGGCTCCGTTGATGGAACTTGGCTCCCATCCCCATGCCTCCCGGGTTTGCACCTGATGTGAGGTATGTGCGTGGTGCAACGCAAGCCACTCCCTGTAGGCGCAGGTGTCGTGTGGTTATCCTATGAAGGCCGAGACCGCATGCCTCTACCCATATATACACAGTGGAGTATTAAATTTCGTTTAGCAATGACTCACCCACTGTGACCTCCACAACTTATCTACCTCGAGTCATCCATTATCCATCTCCCATGTCCCCTGCTCGCAACGAATCGCTTACAATAAAACGATATTAGAGTGGAGTTCCAATGTTTACTGCGTACTCATCCCCTTCTCACCCGCACTTACCGTTGAACAACCGAGTTTATATGGCATATTTAGTCTCGTTTAACTAGACGCCGCCTCCACCACCCTCCTGTTCGAATTAGCACGCACTACTTAGGTGGACAGTGTACCAGTAACTGTATTTGAACTATCCACTATTATGTTTCACTATCCCTAAGAGGGGGGGTATTCTGCTGTGTTACGTGAAGTTGTATGCTCATATAATTTCCATCATAACCTTAAAGCCTTTAATGCTAAGACAATTTGCCGTCTATACCTCACAGTACTCTCATCTCACGCCTTACCTGACGCTTTGTTGTCGGAATCCGAGAAGTCTTTCTTGCCTTCCGGTCCACAAAACCCTTTCTCTTGTTGGTACTTTTCGGCTCACAGCTTAACGTATTATGTCTCCCAGTCTGAGAAATAGGTTCTGCACCTTTTGATGCCCTTGACCGATATTTTTAAATCAGTGCCTACATGCTGGATTTATTCCCAACATTTGGATACCTGTCAGGATAACGCTCGTGCCAATGAAGGGATCCTTGCATTTCTCTCCGACTGCCTGCACGTCCATCATGCTGAGAATCTTAGAGCGACTACTTGTCCTTTGGATCGCAACAACCACACATTTTGTATACTTATCTCAGTTTACATACAGACTCCGACGTTCCACGTTGAATGCCCTAGCATACCTTGTTCACTCAATAGCTTCTGCAATGGATGCAAAATACAAGGCTGTGACGTTTCTCTTCCCTGATTACTCCAACACTTTTGGGAGTATGGACAGGTCAGTTCTAGTTAATCTGCTGCCCGCCAATAGTAATCAGCCAGCAGTGTGCAACCTGATGAGCAAATACTTCGTAAATCGCTCTCATTTCACCCAACTGAACGATAAAAATCCTCCACTGTTCGGGATGACTGGGGCGTTTTGTAAGGAGCAGTCCTCTCCCCTCTTCTATTCTCTTTATGAATCGAAATGCTTCTAATTTCTTCAACTTTCTCGGACGTAAGCGTGCTGACGACGTAGTTCTATACAGCATTGATCCAACTACCGAATAACCACCGGCTCTCTAAAGCTGGTTGGATGAGCTTCAGCGATTGTCGTCGTCCCGATCCCTTATTCTCAACACTTCTAAGTACCGCCATGTAAATTTTTCGTTTCTCTGCACTGAAAAACGTCTGACTTGGCAAATAACTCTCGCTCCATGGTGATGAGCAACCACAACATACCCAGTTCATTCACCGTTAAGCGTCTTTGTGAATATTTTCCTCATAAACTATCATGTGCTACACACGTTGACGGAAGATTCCGCAAAAGTACCAAAATTAACCCTTTATGTTTGTGATTCAAAACGCTTCCAGTACCCTGCTCTTTAATTTATATTTTCGTAACTATCTATATTATTCCTCACTGGCTATATTGCTCACCCATCATTTTTCCGGGTTTTCTACAAAAGAGACCTCCCGTTGGTTGTGTGGTCCATGCAGCTCATTTCCAGGTGTAGTAGATTGCCCAGAGATTCTCTGATAGACTTTATCGTTACTAAGCATTTGGATGCATTGACAACTTTTCATTAAAGGCTTTGTGCATAACCCTTTTTACTCTCTTCACGCTGGTTTATCAGAAGTTCTCTCATGTCCGTCTACCCGCTCTAAATCCAGGGTTCTGTTTTCTCGCCCCACATCTTAGTATAACTCTGTCTTACCGTATTTCTCCCGTCTACTTGTGAACTGCAAGAAACTTATCGACATCACACGTAAATTTTCACTTGGTGATGTGTAATTTATATCAATATTATGCCTCCTTACTTCCGCAGTACTTGTTTACAATACTACATATTTCCCCAGTCTATTTTGACGTGCCTCGAAGTCGGAGCTTTGTATGCTCAGCTGCGTCTTTTCGATTTTGTTTTAACTTATTACCTTCACTATACCTTGCATGTTGTGATCTACCACTTGAGTTCGACCCATCATCCGAACCATTTCGTCATTACTTCAGTGCGATGGAATCCCCAATGGTTCATGCATACATATGTCATCCAAATTTTACCTGTTATTCTTCCAGCTGAACGCTCTGGAGTATCTTCACTCTAAGGATTACGCCCATGCCGACATCAAGGCTTCGAATCTTTTGTACAAAATCTCTGTGGTGGAGGTAAGCAACCTGCTTCTTAGAGACAATGGCGCATGAGTGATTAGTGTGCTTTTTGTTCAAGATTTTCCTTGCCATATCTTCACATTTGAACTCTCAGCTCAAATTAATGTTTACCGGCACAAAGGGATGTTCTTCCATTGCGCACAATTGTTAGGACCCATGAGTGCGCAGTTTGTTCAAGGCACTAATCCAATAGGAACAGTAGTTAAACCAGTAGCTTCTGGTACATACGTCCATTCGTTTCCATGGAATTGATGTACTTGACGTGACTCACACACTTTCACATTGGCTGGAACAGATCAACACAACTTTATTGGCCGTTGGTGTGCTGTTTTACTTTTTGGACTGCTTATACAGTTTCGGTAGCTGCACTTGTAACATACTGTTTGCTTTGATGTTGTTGTGTTCTGTTTCAACTTTCGTTTGAGCGCTTGTTAGGATCGATGTGCTTTTCGACCAAAAGCGCAATGTAGCTGTCTGGAGTTGGAAAGGTTAATCTTATCAACCCTTTGAGGTGTTGGTGGTCTGAGTGTTCTCTGAGCTCGGCAGTTTGACTGCAAACGTTTCGTCACCACCCGAGGTGACATCGTCAGTGCGCGTTTATGTAGCAGAGCGGCGCGGTACGAAGCGTCAGTGAGTGTGAGTGATCGATCTTCTAGCCGTCAGTCTGAGTTTAGATCGTTCGATGGGCACATGACCATCGAGCTCGATCTCTGATTCTTGCCTCGTAGCGTACGTGTGCGTGCCTCTTCGGTTGTTGTCGTCATTTGACGCATTTGTCCGGCGTTCTGTTCCGTTAGATTTAGCCGACTAATTAAGTGATCTTGCATCCCTAGCGCTACATATATAGCATCTACTTCAAAGCGTCTGTTTAGTGAATTGTCTGTAAAATACTGCACTTCCAAAAACTCTAGCTTGTCTCGAATTTCCACAGGCTAGGATCTTTACGTTCTTTAGGTCGAAGTGGTGGCCTTTTTGTTCTTCATGCATAGAAACCAGTGATTGCGGATCGTGTCTCGTATGGCCATTAGGTGTTCCTTGATCCGTTTTAAAGGTATGCTTTAAGTTTGCCCGATATTATGTTTGCTACACTCTTCGCAGTTAATTTTGTAGATGACAGACCAAATAGTAAACTACCACAGCAATCATCCACTGAACCACAAGAAAAGCTGCATTCAAAGCCTTTTCAGAAGGACCGAAACACACTGCAGCACGACAGAGTTAAGGGAGAAAGAAGAGAACTATCTATACCGGGTATTGTAACGTAACAGGTATTCAAGAAACCTACAGAAAACAGTGCATCAATAACAGCTGGAAAACGTAGATAAACGGGTAGCGCTTCATTACACCAAGAACCTGTCTGAACTAACGTCGAGAGTGCTACGACCACATGGAATCTTGGTAGCCCACACAGCAATTGGTACTTTGCGAAGATCGCTTTCAAGACTGAAGGACAAAGTCAACCAAGATAGTCATAATGATATTATCTACAAAATTAACTGCAAAGAGTGTAGCAAACACAATATCGGGCAAACTGGAAGCAAACTTTCAACACGAATCAACGAACACATAATGGTCATGCGGCGACACGATCCGCATTCACTGGTTTCCATGCATAAAGAACAAACAGGCCACCACTTCGACCTAAAGAACGTAAAGATCCTAGCCTGTGGAAATTCGAGACAAGCTAGAGAGTTTTTGGAAGTGCAGTATTTTACAGACAATTCACTAAACAGACGCTTTGAAGTAGATGCTATATATGCAGCGCTACGGATGAAAGATCACTGAATTAGTGGACTAAATCTAACGGAACAGAACGCCGGACAAATGCGTCAAATAACGACAACAACCGAAGAGGCACGCACGCGTACGTTACGAGGCAAGAATCAGAGATCGAGCTCGATGGTCATGTGTCCATCGAACGATCTAAACTCAGCTATGGATACGAAGTAAACCATTGCAGATCTAAGCCACCTTTCAGGCTAACTCATGTTATTCGAAAGAAGACTTACGGCCATTGTGCGAAAGGATTGAGCGCCGTTTATGGGGGTCTCAGAGCTCGAAGAAAGCACATCATAATTAACATCAACAGTAGATAGGCCTGTTTCCAAATTGATATAGCCTCAGACATCACGGTCATACCGGAAGGTTTGCGAAGGATTGTCGGATTGCGTGATATCAAAGCAACCAGTCCGTAAGCGAAGAGCACATACGGTGCTAAATTAAAACTGCTTGGTCGAATCGAATTAGAGTGCGGTTGTGCAGACTTCACCGCATGGTGAACGCTTTTCGTCAGAAACCATCAAATTTTAATCTCCAGAGTCCAAACTGGATCCAACATTTCAACCTGCTTGGTGTTTCGTTCATCCAGATTTGTGCAAATGTCCAGTACGCAGACCAAAAGCCCCCTATACAGTAGTGATTGGGCGTCTGGTAGGGAAGTATGCAGCAGTATTTCATGGAAGTTTCATGCATGAAGATACTGATTTTGTCGGTTCAGGCGTGTCTCGTGCACTTCGAGATTAAATTATCCATCTGCCACTTCACAGGCCTCACTGTCCCTGGGGCCCGATGTTGTTCCACTGTTTCGTACGATACGCCCTGCATTTTTTGAAGCAACGCCAATAGTTGACCAGACGCTGCATCACTTAAAGGGACCACAAGTTATCCATCCGGGAAACTACTCATCCTGGGTGTCATCTGCTGTTGTTTTCAGGATGCCAAATAGTCAAACCCGAATATACGCCTACTTCTCGATGCGTTTGAATTATGATTTATCTGCGAAACTGTATGGGGATAGATGTTTTGCAATGTCGGATTTTTCCGACGCGTATTTCTAGATCGAAGTGCATGTTGATGAATTCGTCGCTATAAATACGTTCCGGAGCTTGTATCAATACCACAGCCTCCCACTGGGAGTCAAGTTAGCACCAGTCATATTCCAGCAGGACATAGACACAATGGTGACCGAATTCGTTGGAGTCGCTGCATACCTGGATGACATTATTGTTGTCGCCAGCAGGGCTAATGATCTGTTCGAAATTCTCTGTCGAGTATTTTGTTGTGTTGAAGAATATGGGTCCAGACTCCACTCTGAAAAATACAGCTTCATGGGCTGAATCACATTTCTCGGTTTTGTGATTGACAGTTGAACAGTGGTGTATTACGGGTAAAAAAAGCAATGCCTAACGACTCCCGTGGGATGGAAATTGTTGAGAAAACTAAGTTGTATGATAAAGTGAAAAGCCTTTTTGTGGACTCACTATAGATTTATGTAGAATAACGGGGTTGTTCACGCATTAATAGTATTAATCCATTAACTGGGAGTTTGGTAAGACACCGTTTGATAGCGTTTTGTAGCCCCTGGCTAACAATGCATAAAATGAACTGCAAATGGGACAAGGCATCGTCAACTCGTTTTTTAAATATCGTCAGATTGGGAGCAGAGACGACATAATTAAGGAGGGCGTTACAAGGCTGGCACACGCAGAAGGAAAAGAAATTTCTACGGCATTCAAGCCGGCTATATTGTATTTTAAGTTTCAGAGGATGACCTCTTAGGTTAGTGTTGTGGTTCAATTCCAGCGGCGGACGACAAATGTGGTTTGGGTTCTTCAGAATCTTGTAAACCATTATGAGATCCCCCCTCAAAAGCCGATATCGTCTGCTGTACATTCTTAGAGATTTCAGTCTAGGCTGACAGGTCAGATGAAATTGGCCCCTGACGTTCTTGGTTACCCTTCGTTGAGGAGTCTCGAGAGCAACGAGATCCTGTTTCTGCCACGGATGCCGCGCCTGGATAGCATATGCCACGTGCGGTCGCACGTAGGCGTTAAGCATTCGGGGAATGACTAAGGGTTCAAACCGACCGAAGGCTCTACGAAGTAGGCCGAAGTGTTGATTTCCGGTTCTCGTCTCCTTTTCTGCTTGTTTCGAACACCTGAGATCTTCCTGTACCAATGCACTCAGATCACGTTCCTGAGAGGCCTTCTTCAAGCTGTGGTCTCCAAGCTTGTAAGCGCTCACCGGCTGGTGACGCAGATGGATCACCTTTCACTTAGCTATTTTCAACTGAGGCAGGTTCCTCTTTGAGCATTCATAAATGCAATCTAAGTCATGTTGGAGTATAGCGTGATCATCATGGCTGCTAATCGCCCGCCATATCTTGACGTCATCGGCGAAAAAAAACAGGAAATTTGAGGGGATAACTCTTGCCAGGTCGTTGATGAACACAAGGAATAAGCGCGATCCCAGCAATGAGACTGAGCAAGTAGAAAGGTTTCTGTACAACTATTGAATTACAAAAAATCAAAAACATTTAGTTGTGAATCATCAGCAGTTGTGTCTGGTCCGTTAATCGTTTATCCTTGTTCGGTTAGGAATTTGTACTAGTGTCATTATTTCCGGGCATATAATGTCTTCTTTTGGCATTGTATATGCATCGTTTCACAAAAGCAGTTTTCCGAAATAATCGTCGATACGGGTTTTAAAACACTTCACAGAATCGGCCTCTATTAATCCTTCTGGTAGTGTATTCCATAAGTTTACGATTTTTCGTTCGATACAAAGCTGATGTGATACTTTGTTCATGTTGGGGACCCTGAGTTTGTAACGATGTCCTCGGGTGTTACAGGGTTCCTGCAGGTGAAATATTGGCCGAAGTATGGGGAAGTGATTTAAGTGTATCACTCGATGGGTCGTAATAAGGTCAATTCTTACTTGGCGATAGGATAGTGTGTAGCGTCCGAGCCTTTCACACCGTTTTTCATACGGAAGCTTCTGTAGATTCGGTATCATTCTAGTTGCGATATGCTGTATTTTCCCCAGCTTTTCAGTTTCCCATTGGGTTATCGGATGGTAAGCTGGGGCACCATATTCAAGGATTGGTCTAATGAGCGAGGTGAATAGACGAGGAACGGTTTCTTCGGACCATGTGGAGAAACCGCGTCTTAATGCCCAGAGCATACGAAGTCCCGCATGGTACAGTTTCTCTGTATTTT